GGTGCTTTAAGCTGTTCCTCTGGTGATGGTTCAAATCAGGCTGCTCTGCTTCATGCTTCAATGGTGCAGGAGCTTTGCAGGGCTCAGCTGAGGGTGACTGAGTCTGTGCAATTCCTGTGAATGCATGTTTGAAGATGTCTTGGCTCTGAGCTTTCTCAGATACAAAGAAAACTGCTCTCCTTGCTTTCTACCAATATTTTAGCCAGAGACCAATGCAAAAACTCTAAAACCACAAATTGAGTTAATTTTACACTTACGAAATCCAAGGCCAGAAGGGATCAGTTAATATAATTACTTGTATGTTGTTCTTTTACTAAGTAGTTTTTGTTTGTAACCAAAGCAACTTGTATTTGCTTCTGGAAATATATTCTGTCCCATGTGACATTAAAAGAAAGGAAATCCATTACTTCTTCTGGTGTCTAATCCTTTTCCTTCTCATTTCAGACACCCTGGACCTACTATCTAGATCTTGGCACTTAAGGCTCTACTTTATTGGATTTAAAGACTTCTTGAAGCCATGACTTCCTCAGCTGGTGAGTGACCTACAGAACATCTGTGTAATACAACATAGACAGTATAACTAATCAAATCACCCTCACTCATCATCTTGTTTAACTAAATTAACTCAAGGCCTCATGCTCTGTGGTGTATTTTCATGTCTGAACGTTTTATGAACCAGCTTGGGGTTTTTTTTTAACCTCCTTAAAATGCAGTGCAACGAATTTCACTTGCTGAAAACTATAATGAAATGCTAATGTTTTGTGGGGAGCTAAAATCTGGAAGGAGAGAGACTGTTTCTCCCTTTTGCTTTTCCTTTAGCTTAGCTCATGCAGAAGCCTGAGGGCCCAAAGTGGACAATTTAGAGATACTATCCATTTAGACAATTGTGGACTCAGGAATTTGCTAGAGGATGCAACTTGGAGCCAGGCATCTCATGCAAAAAAAAAATAAAAAAATCTTAGGAGGCAGAGGAAGGGTAGGCTTCTTCTGGTTAAGGCAGCTGGATTGGTGTGTGAATCCCTGCTTTTCCATATGCTGCCTGCACCACCTTGGAACCATTGTGCTGCTCTGTGGAGCAAGATGATCCCTCCCTCCTGTCCTGGATGGAAAGATAAGTGTGTGTTCTGTCCCCATCTGTCAGAGCTGGGGCAGTTCTCTGCTGTTCATGGGCAGTTTTTTCTTTATCTCTGCCCCAGCCAATCCTCCCTGCAGGAGATCTCTGCTGTCCATGGCCACTGAGTGTCCCTGCAGGGCTGATCCAATTCCAGCATCCCATGGGGAGATGCTGCATTGCCCAGGGCAGGAGCCAAGCATTCCTACCTGGATCCAATGTGAGCCTGGCACAGCCCAGCAGCCTTTGCCCAGGGCATTGCCAGAGGAGCAGCTTCTGCTGCCCTGCATGGCCAGAGGGAGCCCAGGCCCATCTGCAGCAGCCCTGGAGCTGCAGAGGAAAACTCCCCCCTTGTGCAGGATCCCTGCTCCAGCAGAGCCACAGCTGGCACTGCAGGAGGGCTGAGCCCCCATGGGATGGGGCTGGGCCACCCCCTGACACACAGGGGGTCAGCTCCTGTTCTAACTCTGGCAGTGGGTTTTTTTATGGTTTTTTGGGTGTTTTTTGTACCATTATATTTGGTTATTTTTGGTTTTTTTCTTATTGTTGTTGTTGGGGTTTTTTTGTTGTTGTTGTTTTGGTTTGGTTTATTTTTTTTTTTTTAATTTTCTTAGTAAAGAACTGTTATTCCTATTCCCATATATTTGCCTGAGAGTCTTTTAATTTCAAAATGGTAACAATTCAGAGGCAGGGGGTTTACATTTTCCATTTCAGGGGAGGCTCCTGCCTTCCTTAGCAGACACCTGTCTGTTCAAACCCCTCCCAGTCCCAGCCATCCTGTCTCGTGTGTATCAGGCTAAGCAGGGATGGCCCAGACCATGCCTGGGCACACTGACAGGAGATGTGCTGCTTGGCCCAGCTGTTTTCATCTCCAGGGAAAAGAGCAAGGGGCTTGGGCAAAAATTTGGGTGAGCTGCAGCAGCTGGACACAGATCTGTACAACCTGTGTGTGTGCAGGGTGGGCAGCTCCTGCTGTGAGAGTGTGTGCAGAGCTGTGCTTGGACACAGGAACAAAATCTGGGGAATCCTGAAACTGGGCTCCAGCAGCTGCAGCTGCCCAGAGTGGATGGCCCTTGGGGATGTGGGGCTGTTACCTGTGCAGAGTTACCACCAGAATGTGGCAAGGCCCTGGGGGCCAGGATTCACCAGCACCCTCTCCAGCACTTCTCATAGGAATAAATCCTCCTTTTTTGTGGCATTTCAATACTGTTCTGCTAACAGCAGCACCCTGGATGGTAAAAAATGTAAGCTGTGTTACAGACAGAACCAAGTGTCTGCTTAGCAGAGATCTCCTGTGTGATGTCTGTGCCTCTGCTGCTGAGGCCTGGGCTGGTTTTACTCTTCTGTCCCTTTAACTGGAATAGAGACTGAAACATTTATTTGGAGAGGGAGACTGCAGAGAGCTGCAGGATGCTCACTCGTGGGAGATGAAAGAAGGTGCACATTGATTGGTGTGATTTAAAAGCTTGATCTTGCCTCCTGGCCAGAGGCTCTGATAAAAGACCTGGGACGTGTTGCCAAGAGGTTGGGAAGAGGTTTGAACTCCAAGTCCTCCCAGCTGACCTGGTCTAACAAGGAGCATTTTTGCCCTGTAACAGGTGTGAGTGACTACAAAGAGAGGGGAAAACGAGCCCTTCTTGCCATTATTCTCCACCTGAATATCAAACCAGAGGAGTCCTGTTAGTGTGCTGCCTCTCTCTCCTGTTACAAGGCAGGGCACTGTCAGATCAGATGGTCTGTTTGTATTACTTTGGAATGGAAAAGAGTAAAGGCAGTTTCTGTAAAGAAACACTTGAAAAGGCTTCCCTGGTTTTTCATCAGAGCTGTTGGAAACCTTCCTTCCCCACACTGCCCCTTCCCCAGTCCCACCCCCAAAATCCTCACCTCTTCCTGCCTTTGTCAGGCAAGTGTCAGATTTGACACCTTTGCAGTAAGGTACAGAAATGCAAATGGACAAATCCAGCAACACCTAATCAGAGCATGTAAACTTTCTGTGAACCTAATTTGTGGATTAAAAAAAAGAAAAAGGCCATATTGGTACCACATTTCTGAAATGCTTTTGACACTATTGAAAAGCTCCTCATAGTAACTGCTCTGACCTGACTTTTCTTTTCAGCCAGTCCAGCACCGGTGAGCGCTCAGGGGAAAGGGCTGGAATCCCTGAGCTCCTCCCAGCCCCTGCAGCTTTGGAGAGCCCCTGTCCAGGTGCCCCCCAGCCCTGCTGCCTGTCCTCCCTGCAGCACAGGCCTCGGGAAGGCTCCCTGGCTGTCGGCAGGACAGCAGCCTGAGCAGCAACGGGGGAGGCAGCAGCTCCTGCTTGGCTCCCCCTCTGCAAGGGCAGTACAGGGGAGCTGAGCATTTCTGCAGGGCTGCTGGGCAGGGATCGCTGCTTGCAGCTGCCCCAGCCCCTGCTGAAGCAAAGCTGGCACCTGTACATTGACTCTGGGCTGTGTTTCTGCCACCCAAGTGTCAGGATTTGCACTTGCTCTCACAGGGGCAGTACAGAGAGCCCTAATGGAGTCTTCAGCCCATGGAGGTGAAGCACCAGCAGTGGAGAGGCTGCCTGGGGCCAGGAGCAGCCCTGCATGTCACTGTGTCCCTGCTGAAGCCACTGAGCTCGGGCTCTGGGGTCTGAGTGCTGCTGTCACGTTCAGGAGCCCTGGCCTCAGCTCCTCCTCAAGGGCCTTTTCCCTTGAGAAACACGAGGGCTCAGGCTGAGCAGGGCCACAACAGGGCAGGAGCTGTGTGTGAGCTGCCCTGGGAGGGACAGGCAGCTCTGAGCTAAGAGGGGAGAGGGGTGTCCCAAACAACATGTGAGACCTGAGGGAAACTGATGTAAACAAACCTGGACTGGGGCTGGAGAGGAGCAGCCTTGGTGCCAGAGCTCACTGGGTGTGTGGGGTGTTCATGTTAGTGCAAGTGCCCCAGGCTCCATTTACACCTCAAACCCCAATCCCCCTCCCTAAAGCAGAAAGGTCACTACAGAGGCTCTCACCTCCCCTGGCTCAGCTGGGCTTTGCCCTCTCCTCCAGCTCAAAGGGAATTGAACACAACAGAAGGACCAAACATTCTGATGGACACCTTTGAACAAGAACACGCAGCCTAGGTAAAGAAAACTACGAAGGAAATGCCTTGCCAGTGCTTCAGTTTCTATTTTTATTATTCCATGTGGTTATTAACAAAGGCACATGTCTAGTCCCTTGGTCGCTGGGTTGCTTCCTTTCTTGCTTGTTCTATGTTTGGGAACTTCCACGTATTAAGACACTTTACAATCCTTTTTTTCCTCTTTACAATGACAGCTCTCTGAAAGGTATTGTACCACAGCAAAAATAACCTGGCATCTCCCCAGAGGAAGAACCAGCATAAGAATGCTGAGGGTCCCCCTCCACACCCCCAGAAACATTGAAGAACACTTTCCAAATCCACTGGACACTCCATTCAATGGAGTCTTTTTTTGCTCTCCACCAACCAAAAAAAAAAGCCCAAAATGCAAACCACCCTCCTGTGAAGTTATGCCCCAGGACAGGATTTGCCTAGCACTTCTGAAGTTAGGGCTGTGCATGTGTGAGCAACGCCTTCAGATGGCAGATCAAGTAGAGCAGGCTTGGGACTGGCATCCAGAACAACCAGCCCCAAACTCTGTGGCCTGGGACCAACCTCAGCCAGTCTGACCTTACTCATTCACTACACTTAAGTGTCAACGAGAATTAAACAAAAGAAATATTTGAATTCCAATAGTTAAGTTAACAATGCTTAGTACAAGAATTAAGTGCTTAATTACCAGCATTGTTTCCATGATATAGACATGTTGGTGTTGAGAGCCAACAAGAGGGAGCTGGATTTTTAATGTTTTAAAACGGGTTAGAAACACACCACATTACACAATATATGCCACGTCGTGAATTCAAGGGTTTTTTTTATTAAAGATTAAAAATAAAAAAAACATTTGACACCCTAATATACATAGAGTCACAATAAACTCAAACGTGCTAAAAGCAAAATGTGCATAAAGACACTCATTTCTAAAAGGCACCCTGCCACCAACATCTTTTAAAATGTTTGTCTAATTCCACCAGGTTTCTAGCTTTCTCTCCCTTCCCTAAAGGTGAGACTTTAGACTGCTATCAGGTACAGACACCTTTCAGGGGTCTGTGCTATCACTAGAACGCTTGAAACCATGCATGCAGACTTAGCTCCAGCTTCTCCTGCCATTAACTATCGTGATTTAAAACGCACAAGGACTTTTTCTTAAAAGGTAGCGGCGTTTGGGCCGCTTCTAAGGGCCAAGAAGAAAGAGAAAGGGTTATAAAATAACTGCTGTGTCTCCACCAGAGAGCTTCGCTACTACAAACCACTTCCCTCCTCCCCCCATCCTCTCGCAAAAACAACCCCCGAAGTTAAAAACGCCACACACGCACAGGGATGAAATGTTCACGCGTTCGCTATTAGGCTGTCAGGGGCTGACAGCGTCAGAGAGCCCGAGTCCGCAGCCACAGCGCTGCCAGCCGCGCACACAGACAGACACACGGACACTCACAGACAGACACACGGACACTCTCGCTCAGCACACGCGTGTGCGGGGCACGCTGCCCTCCCCACAGGCAGCCCTGCGCTGGCTCCTCTCCGCTGTTACCAGGGTCTCCACATGGCTTTGGGCGAGCCGGGCGAGGGCAGGCCCTGCGTCTGGGACGCGTCCAGTCCGTCCGAGGGGGTCTGGCCCGGCCCGGCCTCCGCCTCGTCCGAGTCGGAGCCGGGCTCCTCGCTGGGGGCGGGCAGGGCCGGGCCCGGGCGGGCTGCGGCCGGCAGGGACAGCGCCTCGGCGGCGGGCCAGGGGCCGAGGGCCGGCTCCGCCACAACGTCCGTGATCGAGTCCGGGCAGCCGCCCTCGCTGAGGGGCATGGACTCCAGCAGGTGGTTGAGCAGCTCGGCGGCCGTGGTGGCGTCGATGCCGGGGCAGCTGGAGACGAAGGTGTGCACCTCGTGCATGCACTGGATGTAGCCGGCGGCGAAGCGCTCGCTGGCCTCCAGGAGCCGCCGCCCGCCCCCTGCGCCGTGGGGGACAGAGAAGGGCGCGGGTGAGGCGCGGGCCGGGCCGGGCGCCCCCCGCCGCCCCCCAGGCCCGCACTCACCGCGGCCGCGGCGCTCCAGCACGGCTCGCACCCGCCGCACCGTCCGCTCCAGCACCTCCGCGTTCTCCAGCTTCGCCTGAAACTGACCCGGGGGACGCGGCCGTCAGCGCGGCCCCGGGCCCCGCCGGCCCCCGGCCCCCACCCCGCCGCCGCCTCACCTCGGTGTCGGCCAGCAGCAGCCGCAGCTCCCGCAGGCTCTCGTTGATGCGCGCCCGGCGCTTCTTCTCCACCAGCGGCTTCCTCGTCTGCGGGGACAACAGCACCGTCAGCTCGTCAGCCGCCCCTGCCCCGGCCCAGCCCCACCCGGCCCATGCTGTCCCCGCCGCTCACCCTCCGGTCGCCGCGGGGCCCCGCGCAGCCCTCGCCGTGCGGCGGGCGGGCCGTGCCCGGCGCCATGGCCGCGCCGCTGCCCCGCTCCCTCCGCTCCCGCTCCGCGCCGCCCGTTTTATACCCCGCGATTTGCATGTCAAAGAGCCCATTGGCCGCGCCGCACGGGCAGCGCCGAGCGTTGGCCGAACGGGCCAATGGCGGCCGCGCGCTTTGTCTGCGCCGGGGCGGGGCGGGCGGAGCGGCCCCGGCGCTGGGCCCGGCCTCGGAGCGGGAGCGGGAGCAGGAGCGAGTCGGGCTGGGCTGGGCCGGGCCGGAGCGGGAGTGGGCCGGGCCGGGCCGGAGCGGGAGCGGGCCGTGCCGTGCCGTGCCGTGCTCCCACCGGCAGCGTGCGGCTCCGCGGGGCGGCTGGCCCGTCCCTCAGCGCTAATGACCCCGAACCCCAGCGCCCGTTGCGGGCTCAGCGCCTCGGAACACCCGCGTGTGTGGCTGCGGTGTCGGTGGAACGGAGGGCACGGCGGGGCCGGTCAGCTGCTGGCGCGGTGCCAGCACCGACCTGGGCGTGCCAGAGTCAGTCTGAGCCGTGACCGGAGGCCGTGGGGCTCAGCACGCACAGCTGGCACGGAGCCGGTGTTGTCGTGCCCCGTGCCAGCGGACGGGGCGGCTCTCGGGCCGGGTGCGGGTCCAGCCCGGCAGGACGCGCCCGCTGTGGCCGTGGCTGTGCGGGCACCGCGGCTGCTCGGCGGGGCAGCGCATCCCCGGGCACGGGCAGCCGGGCCCGAGAGCTCGGTGCCTCCCTGGCTGAAGGAGCCGGGCAGCTTTGTGCGGGTAACTTGATGCTGATGACAGTTGGCAGCTGCAGTTCCCCCGGCAGAGCGAGGCAAATAAAAGCGTTAGGGCTCGTCCCCGAGGAGAGCGACAGGTGTTCGCTCCCGCTCCTTTGTTTCGCTGCTTTTATTCTCCTCGCTAATGCATGTCATATTTTTGCCGCCCGAGGAAACAGGAGACGCGTTCCCCGCTCGAACCGGCGCGGAGCCGCTCGCTCGCCCCGCTCCGTGCCCGGCAGAGCTCCCCTCCTGCTGAGGCCTCCTCCCGGTTCGCCTCGCCACGGAGAGCCCTTTGGCTGAGGCCTCCTCCCGGTTCGCCTCGCCACGGAGAGCCCTTTGGCTGACGGTTTCTCCCGGTTCGCCTCGCCACAGAAAGCCCTTTGGCTGAGGGTTTCTCCCGGTTCGCCTCGCCACGGAGAGCCCTTTGGCCTCGGTGGTGCTGAGGTTTTCCTTGCGGAAGGTCTGGCGGGAGCTGCAGCCACACCGGGATCGGTGCGGGCGGGTCCCGAGTGGCCCCGCATTACCGGAACGAGCTCGGGAAAGGCCGGACTGGCTCTCACTATTGGCAGTTCTGCTTTTCTCCTTCAAAGTGCCATGTAAAGCTCCGTGCCTGCGCTGTGCTAATCCTTGTGCCACGGGAGAGCAGCTGGGATGGAGAGGCTCGGCATCCCAGGCCATCCCGGAGTGCACACGGGTAAAGGCAGCCCTGGATGGACACCTAAGCTCAGGCCACTCTTCGCTTTGTATCGCACTGGACAGGAGGTGTTATTTTCAGAAAAGCGTTTCTGGTGTGTTTTTTCCTTTTATCTTAAAGCATCGGTGCTTGGGTTCTGTCAGAGAGGCTGTTCAGGTGGTGACAAGTTTCCCTGCACCAGGCAGGAGCAGAGTGGGATGTGCTGGGGGCTGGGTGTCTAAATCTGTCCTTCTGCCTCTGAGTTCTCTGTGTGACACAATGTGGAAAGCAGCTCGTTCTTTTCGATGATACAATTAATGCTGGCTAAGCAGAAATGCTGTGGACCAGGCCTAGTACAGAACATTTCTGTATTTAAGTAGAGACACCTGTGACCATTCTGTGCCTGGTTGATGCATACTTAGCCTACCTAAGTGGCAGGGGAAAACCTGATTGTGTACGTGCAAGCTGCAGCAAAATAATGGGTGTCACAATTTTGAAGAACCATCTTTGTTCTGAACCAAAACTAGGCACCTAAGGTCATCAGAGGAGTATAAAACACACAAATGCACACACGCATTTGGAAAATGTGCAGTAACACACACAAGGTATGTAATCGTTGGTAAAATATGAACTCCAGGCCTTTGTGAGCTTGTTTTCTCTTCAGAGAGAGCTCAGCTTCTCCTAGAACGAGGGTGGGGGGAAGTGGGCGAGCCTGGTTGCTGGTGGGGGTGAAACCAAACCACACAAATATTCATGTGTTCACTGCTCAGACAGTGGGGTTAACACTGCTGTAAATTGTGTGAAGTCCCCAGACCTGCCAGGCCTCTTCACTGCAGGTGTTTGTCCCAGCCGTGCTTCAGAGCCAGCTTGGGTTCCAGGTGCTGCTTTATCGTGCCGGGAAATGAGAAGTGAAGGAACTCCTGAATTCAGCCCAGCCGAGGTTCAGGTGTGTCAGGAACTGGGTGGTGCAGCTCTGCTGGCTGCTGAGCAGCAGTGATCTCTCACAAGCCTCAGTGTGAGTTTTTGAGCAGTGAGGAGCTGGAGGCACAAGGTGAGGACTTCAGGATGCACGAGGAGACTTGAGCAGCAAATCTTGGCTAAGAACAGCCAGACAGAGCTGGCCATGGCTACAACATCCTGCTTCTGTCCTGACTGGGTGGGTGCTGATGGCAAGGCATTGCACACATTGCTGGCTCTTGTTCTGCAGCATGTCTTTTTGTATTGTTTTTTGAAAAGCTGCAGGTCAAATGAGTTGACAAATGCTGGAGCTGTTTGTGCAGGGCATTAAAAATGTATGTGCCATAAATATCAGGGCATCACTAGAGCTGCCATTCTGGAGGAGGAAGTCACTGCAGGCTATCTCCTCTAGCCCACAGGGACAATGTGACATTTTTGTGCTACTTTAAACAAGTTCCATCACATCAGGTGAAGCGAATCATGGTAACCTCATGCATTTTAATGGAAATGTCAACTGCAATCTAGTAAAAGAAAACATTCCTTAGGTACCTTGTCCAATACCTCGGTGCTTGTCCATGCGTGGTGGTTCCTGAAGATTTCACTAAACCCACCAACTCATCTGTATGTTGTCCAGGTGAAGCCCATCCTGCTCCCTGCTGAGGGGATGAGGTGCTGCTTGCTCCTGCATGAAGGGTGGGAGTTTAAGCTTTGCCAGGCTAGGGAGCTCTGTCCTGCCAGAGACAGGCTCCTACACAAGCTGTAAAAGGCAGTTTAGCCATGGAGCAGCATCGTTTCAGCAGAGATAATGGCACCTGGGCCTTGCTGCAGGTGTTCTCCTGTGTGTAGAGCAGCATAACACAGCCTATAAAACAGGCTTTCATTCTTTCTAGATGATGCAGAAGCACTAATGCAGCTGTGGTGACAGTGGCAAAGGCAGCTGTGGGAGGCCATCCTGCAGCCTCAGGACGTGCCCTGTGTTTTGGAGGCCCAGGTAAGCGGCAAATCCTCATTTCTGTCCTCACACGTTTCTGTTTGAGTTGGCAGGTGCATTTGGAAGGTCTCTGGCTCCCAGAAGAGCGTTCACAGAGACATAATGAAGCTCAAAACATTTTTGAGTACTCTACAGGCAAGTGTGCTGCCATGCATGCCCTTGGATTGGAGTCAGGAGGTGACCCAGGCTCTGCGTGGATAATACAATCAGGGCACGGGATAAAGACATGATGAGCATGCACAAGGTCCATTGGAAATGCTTGAGTAGTTTCTTTCATAAATGGTATAACATCTGTTGTCACTGGAGGCACAAGTTCCTGTCAAAAAGACACGTCATCCTTATAAATATTAATGGTGCATATAAATGGTGGTGGGTGTGAACTGTGGATGTGAGGTTAATGGGCGAGCTGCTCCTCAGGCATCAGTTGGCTGCCATCAGACTTATTTCTGCACTAACAAATACAAACTGTTTAGCTGGCAGAGCAAGCAAAAAGCTTTCTTCCCCCTCCTCCTCTCCCTGGGGTCCAGTCACAAATGAAATGTGTACTGTAATTAGTCTCTTGCCTTGTCACTGATGAAGATTTGTCCTGCTCACAGAGCTGAGGAGCAGAGGAGTGAGGCTGGAGCTGCAAGAGCTGAGGCTGTAGGTGATAAATGGAGGGAAGGAGGAAGGCTGCAGCATTCCCCATCACTGGACCCTAGCTGCCCTCAGTGCCATCGATTTCTCTGCTCTTAATAGCTGATGTTTAAGAGGAAAATAGGGTAGAATATCAGCACTGAGCTGCTCTTGGACTCCAGTCTGTTTGTTACTGCAAATTGTGTTTGCTGCCTTGAGCACTGAGTTCCTTCTGCCCTTTTCAAAAACCATAAGGCTTTTCCTATCCTTATTTATTTATCAGCAGACTTGGCAGCAGTGCTAGTGTTCATCAGCTGGGGCACAGAGGAACAGTTCATGCCAGCCAAAACACTAATGAGTAGCATTCAAAAGGGTCTTATGTCCATTCACAGCAGAGCCCCAAGACTGTTTGTTCCTGTGGGAGCTGGGGGTCCCCTTTGCCTGAGAAGATGGGCCCAGCCTTCTGTCAAAGGTACTTTGACTTTCTGCCATTTCAGAGGCGGTGATTTCCAAATGGAAAAATGGTGAGGGGCTGTGCTGAGCAAGCAGAGAGGAGAGCAGAGCCTCTCCCCAGTGGTGAGGGATGGATGGGTGCTGTGCAGGGGGCACTGCCCCAGCAAAACCCTCTGTGCCACCTTTCTTACCTTGTCCCCTGTTGGGCTCCTACAAAGAGAAGCCTGAGCTCAGAAAGCTTCAGCTGCTGCCATTTAGCTGTGGTGTGTCTGGCAGGATCCTGTGCCCTTGAGGTTACAGAAGGCACATTAAGTTTGTGGAAGGTATTTCAGGGAGGTGAGAATAATTGTCTGAAGCAAGTACAGAGGGGTTTTTTCAGTTGGATTAAAAAAACCCCAGAGTCTTCCTGTGGTGCTTCAGGGAGCACTAACATTGTGTTTCCAAGGAAGCCTCTTGTGTTTGATTTCTCTAATATTTTTGGTAATTGAAAGTTATCTTTATCATGGGGCTGTCTTCATCACAGCCTTTATGCTATGTTTATAACAGGGCTGCATGTATCACAGTCCTCCTCTGCAAGATATTTATATTAGTTCCTAAATGCCTTACAGGCATCCTCATTAAA